CTCCTCAGCCCCCAGACCTTCTCACACACCGTCTGGCACTTCCTCTCCATCCTGCAGGAGCACTTCGGCAGCATGGTGGGGGCCAACACGTACCTCACACCGCCGGGGACGCAGGGCTTCGCCCCCCACTACGATGACATTGAGGCCTTCGTGCTGCAGCTGGAGGGAAAGAAGCACTGGCGTGTCTACGGCCCCCGGGTGGACGCTGAAGTGCTGCCCCAGTTCTCCAGCGCAAACCTCACCCAGGCTGAGCTTGGCGAGCCCGTGCTGGAGACGGTGCTGGAGGCCGGGGACCTGCTGTACTTCCCCCGTGGCTTCATCCACCAGGCTGCCTGCCTTCCTGATGCGCACTCCCTCCACATCACTGTGTCCTCCTACCAGAGGAACTCCTGGGGGGACCTCCTGGAGAAGCTCCTGCCAGCTGCCCTGCACATGGCCCTGGAGGAGGACATGGAGTTCCGGCAAGGGCTTCCCATGGACTACCTGGGATATATGGGGGTTGCCAACTCGGACAAAGTTGACGCTCGCCGAACAGCCTTTGTGAAGAAGGTACAGAGCCTGATGGAGAAACTTGTTGACTATGCACCCATTGATGCTGCCGTGGATCAGAGAGCCAAGTTGTTTCTTCATGACTGTCTCCCCCCAGTGCTTACGCAAAGTGAAACGCTGAAGAGTGTGTATGGCTTCCCAGCCAGGTGGCAAGACGGAGGCCCCTGCAATGTCGATATTCTGATAACAAAAGACACAGAAGTCCGTCTCCTCCACCATGGCATCATTAGACTGTGTAATGAAGAAGCAGGGGTGATGCTGTATTACACAACGGAAAACTCAAGAACGTATCATAAGGAAGAACCCAAGTTTCTGGAGCTGGGTCCCGAGTATATAGACAGCATCGAATTTCTCCTGTCTTCCTATCCAAACCACATCAGTGTGGATGCCCTTCCATGTGAAACCTTGGAGGACAAGATATCTCTAGCCGCGCTCCTGTTTGAGAAGGGCATTCTGACTACAAAGAAGCCTCTGGTGCAAGTGTAACTTTTTTTAGCAAAATAAACACGTTTGTTTAGAAGGCGTTCTGTCTCATTCTTGGCTTATGGCTGCTAGTTGTGAAGCAGGAGTTCGGATCACAGTATCTCATCTGGGAGCAGAAGGGCTTTGGCATGGGTAGAGAAATTGGATGTTGTCATTAAAAAGGGAGCAATTCTGCATGGCTGAGTGACTAGAGAAGTGCTTAATTTTTCATTTTTTCCTTTCAAGAGCCATATTACTACACTCTAGGTAACTTCAGGAAGCTAGTGAACTTTATTGCAGTCTGTAAATCGTGTGTGTTTACACAGTGTTGTACTGCAGCCTGCCCTACTGCAGGAAGTACTCACATTACTCATAGGCAAATGCGGTGATGATCAACTCTTCTGTGTGCCTGTGCTGTACTGTGGCACACATACAGCATGGCCTTCAGGCCTGTGCTGTGCTGCAAACACCTTTCAGCCACAGGAAGAACTCGGCCAACCCTTCTAAAAAGTGGAGCTGACAGGCAGCTCCTGCTCCGTAACACCAATTACACCACCTGCATGGCCGTGTCCTTGCTGAACAGTGCAGCAAGATGCTCTCTTGTGAATGTGAGCTGCTGCCTTTGAAATGCTTCAGGCTCTGTCTCTTTGTTTTCAGTCTGATAACTGCAAGCTGTATTAGTGATAGAATAACCTCTCCCCCTGGTTTTCCCACAGCAGCTCCTAGCTGGGAAATTATTAGTCCTTTCAAGGTAAATGGTTGTCATGGTTTAAGCCTAGCTGGTAACTTAGAACCACGCAGCCACTCGCTCTCTCCCCCCTTGTCCTCCCCATTCTGGGCAGGATGGGGAAGAGAATCAAAAGAATGTAAATCCCACGGATTGAGATAAGAACAGTCCAATAACTAAAGTATAATAATAATAGTAATGAAAGTAACAAGAAGAGAGAATATAAAACGTAAAAAGGGAAGGGGAAAAAAAACCCCAAACAATAAACACAAGTGATGCACAACATAATTGCCCACCAGCCTGCAGACCAGTACTGAGCCCAACCCGAGCAGTGATCTGGCCGTTCCAGGTAACATCTCCAGTTTACGTACTGGGCATGACATGCTGTGGTATGGAAAAGCCCTTCGGCTACTCCAGGCCAGGTGTCCTGTCTCTGCTTCCTCCTGGCTTCTCATGCCCCTCCTCACTGGCAAAGCAGGAGAGACTGAAAAGTCCTTGATTGGGTAAGCATCACTTAGCAACAACTGAAAATATCGTTGTGTTGCCAGCATTGTTCTCAGACTAAACCCAAAAGACAGCACTGCACCAGCTACTAAGAAGGAGAAAAATAACCGTTACAGCTGAACCCAGGACAATGATGTACTTTCCAATATGGGGGTTTTCGTGCTGGGTGCAAAAAGTTTCATGTCAAGCTAGATGTATACACATCTGGCTGTGCGGCCAGTTCCCATACTGTCAAGCCTCAGCTATGCTTTTCCACAATGCTGTTTTATCGTTGCAGTCATCAGGTGATGGATATTCTGTCTTCAAAGCCTCCCAAAGCCATACTCACAAGGAGCAGGCTGCATTAGCTTGTGCTCCTCTGAGCTGCTGGGTCGTCAGGGGGTTGCAAGATGGCACCCATGTACCCTTAATTTTTTAGGATTTAAGTGTACACTACCTCCTCCAAAGTCCCATACTTGCGACAACCAGTGTTCCAGCCTTTACCTCTCTTTTGCCAAGTCTTGAAACACACGACCAGAGCCCCTGGGGGCCCCTCTGCTTTCTGAATCATAGAATTTATTCCAATTGCAAGAATGTTTTACGGAATCATAGAATGGTTTGTGTTGGAAGGGACCTTAAAGCTCCTCTAGCTCCAACCCCCCTGCCATGGGCAACGATGCCTTCCACTAGACCAGGTTGCTCAAAGCCCTGTCCAACCTGGCCTTGAACACTGCCAGGGACCAACTGCTCTGGACAACTTGTTCCAATGCCTCACCACCCGCATAGTAAAGAATTTTTTCCTAATATCTAAACTAAATCTACCCTCTTTCAGTTTAAAACCATTCCCCCTTCTCCTGTCACTACATGCCCTTATAAAGCATCCCTCTCCAGATTTCTTGTAGGCCCCCTTTAGGCACTGGAAGGCTGTTATAAGCTCTCCCTGGAACCTTTTCTTCTCCAGGCTGATCAAGCCCAACTCTCTCAGCTTGTCTTCATAGGAGAGGTGCTGCAGCTATCACCAGTGGCTGGACAGAAATGCTATTGCTGCATTCATCCTCTGATTCCTCTGACTACTCATTTCACCAGACGATCAGCAGTCCTCATTGCACCATTCATTCCCCTTGAGGGAAAATCATTGTTGGGAGGTGGGGGGTGGGGGACGGGGGCGCGGAAAGTAAATTAGAGATAAGTGGGGTCTAACAGAGGTTGTAATATTATCAAAACCTTTTTAAGTTAAAATACAGCTGCCACTTTCAGAATGGTTGGTATGCACGGAATCTACTCCACCATGCTTTTCTAGGCAACACAACCTGCCGTCCTAGAGGAGCAATGGAGGCTGGAGCAGAGTGGAGGCACCACGGCCAGGTTCTGTTGTACTCCCTGCAAGACTCGGAACTTGATGGTACCATACAACCAGCTGCCCTGCACATGGCCCTGGAGGAGGACATGGAGTTCCGGCAAGGGCTTCCCATGGACTACCTGGGATATATGGGGGTTGCCAACTTGCTTATTATGATCTCATAATAGTAACACACACCTCCATCCCAAAGTTACCCACCTCCAAGGTAAAGACCACCCCTCAGGAAGCATGTGCTTTATATATTTATTGGCTGTATCTCGAGAGAATCTTACACCAATCAATAATAAACGAATGTATGACTAGAGTCACTCAAGCTCCACCTGAGAGTAAAGAAAAGTATAAAAGTGAATGAGAGGTGGGGATGTAAGGAAAACTTCATTTTGACTTCTGGGATCAGTAAGGCTGAACCTGTCTTCTCCCCCATAGGGATG